ATTATATATTATATTACTAATCAAAAATTAAGTTTTGATATATTTACAGTAGGAAACTTACAAAATATCTTCATGGAACATGATCTTTACTTAATATCCTAATGATTTTTGGCATAAAAGAAAAATCGATAATTTTTAGACCCCTACAATGTTTTTTTTGGCTATAGCTACAAATATATCCCAGCGACTTACGACTGCTTTTGTGCTGCAGGGTCACATATGAGTTTGCTGTTAATTAACCAATATGCACAAACCTGTAACAATACATCAATTGAAATCAATATTATATAACCATTTAAAAACTGCCTAGCAACCACCCAGAATACTCCTATTAGACTCATAGCAATGCATTTGCTGGCAAACCACCTGGGATACCCTAACATCCACCTACCAACACATTAGCAACCATCCAGTATACTCAACCAATGTCCTAGTAACTGCACAGCAATGCAGTAAAACCAACCTAGAATACCCTAAGAACCACTTAGCTAAACATTAGCAACCACCCAGAGTATTCTACCAATGTAATATCTTCATGGAACATGATCTTTACTTAATATCCTAATGATTTTTGGCATAAAAGAAAAATCGATAATTTTTAGACCCCTACAATGTTTTTTTTGGCTATAGCTACAAATATATCCCAGCGACTTACGACTGCTTTTGTGGTTCAGGGTCACATATGAGTTTGCTGTTAATTAACCAATATGCACAAACCTGTAACAATACATCAATTGAAATCAATATTATTGAACCATTTAAAAACTGCCTAGCAACCACCCAGAATACTCCTATTAGACTCATAGCAATGCATTTGCTGGCAAACCACCTGGGATACCCTAACATCCACCTACCAACACATTAGCAACCATCCAGTATACTCAACCAATGTCCTAGTAACTGCACAGCAATGCAGTAAAACCAACCTAGAATACCCTAAGAACCACTTAGCTAAACATTAGCAACCACCCAGAGTATTCTACCAATGTCTTAGTATCTGCTTAGCAACACATTAGAACCCACTTAGAACATGCTAGCATTCTGGAGGCTAGTTTTACAGAGCTAGCACCAAAATTTAAAAAAGAATATTTTTTTATTCATAAGTTTTTATTACTATTACTAATAGTTGTCGAACACTTGTGTCTTTATCATATTGCTGCTCTTTTGTTAAACACTGCAGTGAATTTTTCACCATTAGAGGTTGCTTTTAGGTAAAAAAAACACAAAGAGTCTTTTTACCATGGTAAAATCACTGTAACTCATCACTTCTAGTAGCTTATTGCTCTAATGCAGTGTTTCCCAATCCTGGTCCTGGAGAACCCCCAACACTTCACATTTTAAAGGTCTCCTTAATAAAACTCCAAGACCTCAAATGTGTGTGTCAGATAAGAGAGACATCAAAAACGTGCAGTGTTGGGGGTTCTCCAGGACCAGGATTGGGAGCTACTGCTCTAATGTCATAATAATATGTGTGTGTTTGTGACAGACTGATGACGATGACTACATGATGGAGAAACCCCTGGGTTACCTGCCTCTTCACCATGAGCTGGACAGTGGGCTTGGATGGACGGATGGTAGTTTCCACCAGGGGGAGCTGTCGGGGGTGGAGACGGAGGAGGGGCTCGAGGAGCGCCACGGCAGGTCACCATCGTCTGAGTCATTCATCTCGTCTGAACTGAGCGACTCAGGTTTTTACAGCATCAGCACCGGCGAGTTCCTGCGCTTCCAGCGTCTGCTAGAGAAACGCATGCGCCATTACAACGCCCGCATGCACCACCAGGGGGAGCCGTGCTCTCGCGAACGGCGCGACAGCCAGATAAAACACCCCCTAGAGGCCATCCCCGAAACGCTGACGGTGCAGCCTCAAAACGTCTGCACGCCCGTCCCGGGATCGCGTGGTTTGTCCCGTGTGTCGTCCGTGCAGTACCGTAAGGTGGAGCGGCCATGTTTGAACAGGCACAGCTCCAGCAGCGGCTCGCTGTTCAATCCCGCACTGTACTCCACGTGTAGTACGCCCTCCGGCCAGCGACGGCTGCCGCCTCATCCGAGCTCTGCGGGAATGCTGAGAAGAAGCAGGACGCTGCATCACCGCCCTGCGCCCATGGAGTACCGCAGACGGGCGAGTCACCCGGCCTCGCCCAACTACTGCAGCGGCACGCTGCATCCCTGCGGCCACAGAGTCAACCTGCCCATGAATCTCCCTGAGGAGCCGGCACTTATGCACACCGTCAGTCACCCGGCACACCCTGTTGTACTCCCCACACAGACTCTACACGCTACCCATGCAATGAGTCAACCGTCCCTTATCTCTCCAGTCGACGAGCACTGCTATATGCCTCCAGAACTCCATGACAACAGCAGGATCCGAGCATCCACCGAACCGCAGCTACAGAAGAGCTTTGTGACCCAACAGATGCCCAACAACAGGTTCCACACCCTAAGTCACACGCCCAGTCAGGACGCCAACGACACCTGGCCCAAACCCGCCAACCGTGCAGGCTCAGGTGGCGGAGGCGGTCTCTACAGCACCTTGGAGGGCCACACACCCACTGCTTCCATCAGGAAACCATCCAGCGGGAACCTGCGGGCCTTGCGAAACCAGATGCTGCGGGATAGAGCATCCCGTCTGGCAGATGAGCGTAGCGGCATGAGCACGGACGAAGAGAGTCACAGTGAGGTCCGAATGGGTCGCTACTGGAGCCGTACTGAGCGCCGCGAACACATGCTGCAGAAACAGCGACAGCTGCAGGCCAGAAGCGGCGGTGGCGGCGGCGTAGCTGCGTCAGGATTGGTGTATAGCGGCGGAGTCGTGGGAGGAACTAACGGAGACAGTTGTAATACCCTTCTCGAGCTGAGCCAGAGGAAACTAAGTCGCCTGAGGAACCGGAAGCTGCTGGACGACTGGACCACCGTAGAGGAACTCCTGACGCACGGAACGCGCCTGGGCCCCAGCGGAGACACCCGGCAGCTGCCTACGTCGTTGCTCACCGTCACAACTGTATAGCGACACCCACCGAGCGTGTGTTCAGATTGACGTGTGTGTGTTTGTGTGTGTTGGACCGGCCGCACTACACAAAGCTACCTCCTGAAACTGAGGTTTACTGTAGATACAGACGTTTCCGAACACCGTAGTACATTGATTTTTAAATGTTATATTTGCAGTATCTTGTTTTGCATTGTGTTGTAAAGAGATGTTTCATTAGGGAGCGAAATCACTGCAGTTTGATTCGACCGCATGAAGCAATACAACATATACCGACACCAGACAAAGTGAATTTCATTTGGTGCCAAGAAAAGTTTACGTTGCGGATCATTTTAAGGTGGTGCTAAACGTGAGATTTCATTTCTTCAACATAATTTGCAACTAGCCTATAAACGACATCCGAATTACGTCACTTTTGCACAAGATTTAAAAAAAAAATCCCTTTCCGACTGTCTTCCTCTAGCTAATTTGTGGCGTTAGCACAGCCCCCATTTTCAATCATGAATCTGATTCTCTGGGAATAATATCGGATAATCTAACGATGGATCGGGAGTCGGATACGCCGCCAGGGCCGGAGACTGGGTGTGCAGGGTTATGCTGGAGATCGGGCAGCGGAAAAGTGAGCGTGTGTTGTGAAGTGTGCGGGTTCTTGCACTATAACTGTAGTTCTGTAGAGTATTTTTAAAGCTATTTTTCTTGTGATCTTCACAATTGATGTCACGAAAAGAAACAAAGAACTTTTATAAAGACTCAAACAAGTGGCGTGTTATCAATTTGGAGAGAAAGATGAGGCGCTGAACTGTGTTTTGTTCTAACGTGCAAATATCACGTATTTTCAGCACACCTTTCCGCAAATAATGGGGTTTCAATTTTACAACGAGCCTCATGAAACGCCAGCAGAATGAATTCTGAAAGTTGATAAACTGATGGCAGTTACACAAATGAAATGGTGTTCTGAATGATTAGAAGAAGCATTAGTATTTTTGGAGTCACCTGTGTCAGTGTGGGAGGTTTGCGGATTTGTTTTTATTTTTTATTATTTGAGCAGAAAATCAGGATTTTTCCCACCTGCACTATTTTTGGTGCACTAGCACTGGAGTGTTTACAATTTTTCCTCACACAACTGTGACTCTCTGCGACACATCTCGCTCTCTCGCCCTCGTTTCTGAGGTGAAATCACGTCATTTCCGCCGTGAGTCAAACGCTGTGAATAATGGATGTGAACGGATGGCACATTAACAGAAAAACTCTGCCTCTCATTGGATTTTGCTCGTTTCCACTTTTAGAAATAATTTTCTTGGAATATGATGTACATGTGGTTGTAATAAAGATGAGATTTTAATTAGCTACTTCAAGTTGGTCGAGTTTTTTTTTTTTGTAACGTTATTGAAGTGAGCGTTCATAATTGAAATCTGTCACGACAACAAACCTTTATTTAATTCAGAATCCGAGAGTCTGAACGAAGCGAGTGAAATCCCGCGCTCAGTTTCAGACTTTCCTCATGAATATCAACATCGTAAAGATTGCATTTTCAAAGAGCAGTTTTTAGCTTTTTCAAGCTTGACTATGAAAATGTATATTGACCACAAAGATTAAAAATTCCTTGACATGTTCAGGTTACTTAGAAAAGCATGGTTTTATTGTAGTAAAAGTGAAGTAACCATGTTTTTTTTGGCGTATTGATTAGTTTTACTACAAATACCATGGTTAAACTATGGTTAGTATAACAAAACCATGGTAAATTTGTGGTTACCATGGTTTAACTATAGGTTGTTTGGCATAATTTGTGGTAAAACCATGGCTAATTTTCGTAAGGGCTGGATTACTATTTGACAAATACTAAATGTAATTTCTGCCTCGTAAAAAACGCTTAAAAATGGCCTTAAAAGTCATTGTTATTAAAATTATGAATTTGAACGCCGAAATTATGACATTAAAAGTCGAATCTTTATGAAGCAACAATCCGAAATTATGATAATCATGAGTAGAAATTTTGACGTAAAATCGAAAATTTAAAGTTCGAAATTGACATACTAAATCGAAATTATGACATAAATCATAATCACGAGGTAAAAAGTCGAAATTATGGCTTTTACATTAATACAAGTTGAGGTAAAAAGTCGAAACCATGACTTAAAAAGTCAATTATGATTTTAAGTTGAAATTATGACATACTAAGTCATAATCATGAGGTAAAAAGTAACAATTATGACTTTAACAATCGAAATTATTACATACTAAGTCATGAGGTAAAAAAATCACAATTATGTCATTTTCTACTCTTAAAGTAATAATTTCGACTTTTCATCTTATGATTATGACTTACTAACGTGTCGAAAATGTGCTTTCAAACTATTTCGAGACATTAGAAAGTATCACGTGAGGAACAGTGATGCTTTGAGCCTCAGCAGGAATCTGATTAATACCAGCACTAACGAGCGGACTTCACTCAGAAAGTCGAGTTTCTCAGATGCTCATTTTACTTTCGTCTGACTTTCAGTCTTTAGATGTTTGTGAATAAAACATAGAAACACAAAATGGAATCCAACAGTAGAAAAGCACAAAATGGAACCGAATAACAGAAAAATGTCTTTCTCTTGCTCTTTCATTCCCGCGCCGCTGACGCCTCCTGCTGGACGGAAACTGTCAGTGCAGGAAACAAAATGGAGGCTCACCCGGTTGATTTATTCCACAGATGTCCTTCATAACTATATTATTGTACCAAAACACATTTAACACACGCACACCACTCTCAAAACACAAAACTGGTTTAATATGTATATAAAAAAGAAAAACACGACCAGTCTCAGAAAAAACAAAACTCAAAACAAATATAAGACATCTGACCCAACTAGTGCTTATACACAGACACGGATCCATCTACTCTAAATAAAAAATACATGATTCCCTCCTCCTATCACTCTCTCTATATGCAAGGAAACTGATTAGATTTCAATTGAGTGCTTCATTGAGCTGTAAGGTCCTTCTGTAAAAATGCAACACAAGTACAGTCCGTAGAGTCCATAAAAGAGCATCGTCATTCATCCACACAGACAGGGGGCGCCAGAGGCCTTCAGCTTCAGTCCAAACCCTGAACCTCATGCTGCTTGTACATCGACGAGACCAGATTTCCTGAAAGAACAGCATTCGTACGGTTAAATTAAACAAACCTACATGTAAAACGAATTAATTTTTTTAATAAAAACACTTGCTAAATCCTTCAGGTCAACGTAAAGGCCCAAAGAGCGAAGCGACAAAGCAATGCAAATCTGCACCAAAGCTAATTTCCATCCATTTATGGGATATTTTTGCATATATGATCGAGAGCGAATCATTCGCATGCTTCAATGCGAGATACGAACAATATGAAAACCACAGCTGGGAATCGTACGACTGAACTAAGATTATTAAAAATCATTTTCAGTAAATTAAATAAAGCTGAAATAAAATAAAATCGAAATATTAGATGCAAAATTTAAATTAAATTTAGAAATGGTGAAGTGAAATAAAATGAGTTACTATTTAAGTTTAAAAAAAGTACTAAAATTACTAAGACTAAATAGGAAAACAAACCGACCAAAACTACAATTAAATAATTTATATAATATAATATTATTTAAATGAAAACATGAATATGTAAAAATAATAATGTTAAACAATATAAAAAAACATTAATGAAGACTAGAAAAGTACAAAAAATTTAATAAATTTAACAATTAAATTCAAAACAATATTAAATACTTTAGACTATAAATATATAACAATGTTAACATATTATATAAAACGATATAAAACCATGCTAATAAATACTATGAAAGTATATAATACTAAAATAACACTGCTGCATAGTCCAATTGACAAATGACTCATTTGAACTGATTCTTTTAATGACTCGGTCAAAAAGACTCGTGAATCATGCTGCTTTTAAATCATGATTATATATAAGCATACGATTCGCTCATCTTGATTCATGTTTGAATCTGAATCTTTTAAAAGATTTGCATTCAAAACTAATTTAAGTAAATTAAAAAATAATGTTATAATTGAAACGCCACCAATAACAGCCTTTGTTTTTGTTTAGTATCTTGAATGAATTATTAGGCCGGTTTTAGTACGCGCGTTTTGTTGCAGGGCATCATGGGAATGATCGGGGGAGGACAGTAGACCTGAAGCATTCGCTCGCACATCGAGGAGGTCAGAGCAGGAAGGACAGGAAGGCAAGCAGGAAGCAGCCAATCACAGCTGAGCTCAAGCCGCACCGGACCCAGGCGGGACACAGGGGTCAAAGGTCGTCTTACCTGGCGTCCCCAGCCCCTCTGCTCTGTCCCAGCAGACTTTGGGTCTGAACGGAGAGTCTTTGTCTTTACCTTTCGATCCCTTGGGCCGCCCCGCTGCCTTCTTCTTGGACTTACTGTCGCCCTTCACACCCAGCAGCGGATGGACCTCTGCGAGACACAAACGCAGGCGTCAGAGGAAGTGACATCACGCCGAGCGCGGCGGCCGCAGCGAGCAACTCTCTTACCGTCGTTCGGGACGCCCTGCAGCTCGATGGTGGTGGTGCGGATCTTCTTCTTGGGCGGCCCTCCGTCGGACGACGGCTGCCGCTGCTTTTTGTCACCGGGGCCGCTGTGGGCGGAGCCATCGTCGGGCGTGGCATTCTGACCCGTGGCGTCGGGCGGAGGGCCGAACGGGTTCTCCTCAGGGTCCTCCACCTCCGGAGCGATGGGCAGATACAGCAGCGCTTTATAGTCCTCCAGCTCCTCGTCACTGCAAACGTCGCGAAAATACACTCGGAAATTACTACTAAGATTACAAATAACGTCAGAGAATGAAATATAAAACGAATTTTCTGAATAGACTGAATTAAACAATAAGAACAAACAAAAACTAAAAAACCTAAAACAACTTAGAAACTGTACAATATTAAAAATAACAAAATTGTGCACTTAACATTTAAAATGTAAACGTGAATATCAAAATATGAACGAACCAAAACTAAAAAACGAACACAAACACATTTGCACTGTAAGATAATCATTAAAAATAACCAAATTTAGCTACTTACGTAAAAATTTTATTTTGCGAAAAATAAACTGGTTTAAGCGAACAAAAAACATCATAAGAAACACGTATGAATCTAAAAATACAGCAAATTTAATGAAAACTTTTCTGTGAATGCCAAAAACCTGATTAAACGATATGAACAAACAAAAACGTCTAAACGAGAAAACTAACAAATACACATTTAAAACGGCATGATATTATAAATGTAAAATATAGTGAATTCAAAATTTTGCGAGACTAAATTTAAACAATATGAACAAACAAAAAAACTTCAAAACTAAAAAACGTACAACTAATACATATGAAACTGTACAATATTTAAAATTATGTAAAATATAACAAATTAAATTCAAAATTCATTTTGCGAATGTCAAAAACTTGATTATACAATACAAACAAACAAAAACAAACAAACAAACACATTTGCGCTGTAAGATAATTAAAAATAACAAAATTGTGCACTTAACATTTAAAATGTATATGTGAATATCAAAATAAACTGGATTAAACAATATAAACAAACCAAAACTAAAAAACAAAAACACATTTGCATTGTAAGATAATCATTAAAAATAACAAAATTTAGCTACTTGCGTTTAAATTTTATTTTGTGAAAAATAAACTGGTTTAAGCAAACAAAAAATGTCATAACGAACACGTATGAAACTAAAAATACAGCAAATTTAATAAAAACTTTTCTGTGAATGCCAAAAACCTGATTAAATGATATGAACAAACAAAAACGTCTAAACGAGAAAACTAACAAATACACATTTAAAACGGCATGATATTATAAATTATGTAAATATAGTGAATTAAAAAAATTTTTTGCGAAACTAAATTAAAACAATATGAACAAACAAAAAAACATCAAAACTAAAAAACTACAACTAATGCACATGAAACTATATGATATTTAAAATTAAGTTAAATATAGCGAAATTTAAAATTCATTTTGCGAATGTCAAAAAAAACACACACACAAAAAAAAACACATTTGCCCCTGTAAGATAATTAAAAAGAAAAAAATGTAGCGATTTACATTTGAATTTTATTTTGCGAAAAATAAACTGGTTTAAACAATATGAACAAACAAAAACACGAACAACACATGAAACTGTGTGATAATATTAAAAATAATGTAAAATACAGCGAATTAAATGAAAACTTTATTTTGCAAATGTCAAAAACCCATTACACGATACGAACAAAAACGTCAAAACTAAAAAACTAAAATAAAACCATGTTTAAAACTGTATGATATAAAAAATATGTGAAATATAATGTACAATTTATTTTGTCAAAACTAGATTAAACAATATAAACAACGAGAAACATCAAAACTAAAAACGAACAACTAAATGGTATGATAATATTAAAAATAATGTAAATATAGCAAATTAAATTTAAAAATCATTTTGTCAATGTCAAAAACTTGATTAAACAATATAAAAAAAAAAAAAACACATTTGCACTGTAAGATTATAATTAAAAATAACAACATTTAGCGACTTACATTTAAATGTTATTTTGCAAAAAATAAACCGATTTAAACAATATGAACAAATAAAAATGTCAAAACTAAAAAACACTTGAAACTGTATGATGATATTAACAATAATGTGAAATTATTGGAAGAAATTTAACATCATTTTGCAAATGTCACAATTTTATTAAACAATATAAACAAACATGAACATCAAAACTAGAAAACAAAGAGCAGGAACGTGTATGTGAGTGTATGATGTTAAAAACAATGACTGACCTGCTGCAGAATGCTGGGATGGGATCGACTGACGTGACATCCACCTCCTCGTCCTCGGCAGCGTCCGCTCCTGACACACACACACACATCAGTGTCATATACAGCAGTGTGTGTGTGTGTGTGTGTGTGTGTGCGTGAGTGAGTGAGTGTCTGTGTGTGTGTGTGTGTGTGAGAGAGTGTGTGTGTGAGTGAGAGAGAGAGTGTGTGTGTGTGTGTGAGTGA